GAGCACTTGCATTCAAGTCCTTTATTGATGATGCTGACTTCTCTAAATACAATCTTTCCAACATGATTGCTATGGATGAAACTGTAGTGTTTATGGGCCAATCATCTCAAACAATTGAATAGCGGGGTGCCTCCTCATTGTACATTCCCTCCACTGCTTACGAAAATGCAAGTGTTTCCTGTATTTGGGCAATTCATCTGGATGGCACTAAACTCCCACCTTTAATCATTTTAAGGGCAAGAAGGAAAAGATTGAATGTGTTTTGGGCATTTTTATTTTTGAAACGGAAAGAGCCTGAGCTAAACAAGCAGTTAAAGGAAGTGGGTCAATTTAATGCTGCCACGTGTTATGCAAGGGAGCCAAAGAGGTCTGCTAGTCTGGGATGCAGCCAGCACTCACCACGCTAAAGACATGAAGACATTTCTTCATGAAAGAAAAATAGATCAAATAATGATTCCTGCAGGAATGATGGCCTATCTCCAGACTCTTGATGTTGCATAAAGCCATTCAAGGACAATTTGCGCATGGAAATTAATGACTACGTTGAAAATAGAATGGAGAGAAATCAGCATGGAAACTTTGTGAAACCTAAATTGCAAGAGGCTGTGACTTGGGTGAAGAATTAATGGGAGAAAATCATTGGCAGTTGCACTGCAAATGCACTACGAGCAGGCTATCTCGAAAAGAAGTACTCACGTAAGGACAGTGCTATTGCTAAACATGAGAGATTTGGTCCACTGATTCTGAAAGAAATGGAGTCAAATGAAATTCACCAGGAAATTCAGGGAATGGATCGTTATGATGATGTTCCATTAAGGTATATAGTCACTAATTAAGTGAGCAATGCTTTGATTGTAATGGTACAGTAAAACCTTGGTAATTCTGAACTTTCTAGAAAGAGTATGTGTACCTGTCAGTATATATCATTCATTCTATGATATGTACATTTGAGTATACATGCACACTGACATGGTACTCATTTCTGCTACAGGGTAAATGAACCTTCGTGTGCTAATAAAGCATTTGACTCGGCTTCCTATGATTTTATCACTATAATACTGCCAGTACTGTTTTCCAATAGATATGTCTGTTTCTTTCACCTTCTTGTTTTTCCCTTCTGAGTTCTTGACGTTATATCTCTGTAGATCTTTCTCCTTTTTTATTTTATAATGGCTCACTACTCCTTTCATTTATGCTAATCACCTGCTGTATCTCTGCTGCGCTCATCTATTTTCTTCTCTCCTGCTATTTTTTCATAATTTTATGAGGCAACGTTGTCAATTTATCCTTTAAAGACAACCAGATTTCTTATTAACACTATTAGAACCAATCATTCCCAAGGTATGTTAGTACTTTTCACATCAATATTGTTGTGTTTGGTTTGTTTCTAGGTTTATTTTCTGTCTCTCTCTCTCAAGCTTGAAAAACATTAAAGTAATAGCACCTAAGTTGTGGACCCAAAAAGACTCAGTATAAATAATGATCATTTATGCCCATACTTTTTCTTGGAACCAAATTATAATGTAAAATGGAGGCATAATCCCAGCACTTTGATTGGGTGAGAGAATTCCCCGTCTTTAATTGTTTCAAGTAGATCAGAGTCACACACACACACACACACACACACACACACACTCTTAGAATTTGAAGGTTCTGGGTGACTAATTTTAGAAATTTGATACAATATTTAGGAAGTCCTATCACTCACTTTTAGGGCTCCCAAAACAAAATAGTTTTGATCAAAGAACCATACAAATGGAATACAGAAGCAAATCCACAAATTGCTGAACATGTATTTGATAACAACTAGAGCAGAGCACTAGTAAAAGCAAGGCTACTTTCCCCACTCTCTAGCTTGAATTTAGATCTCCACATAGTACGTGAGCCTGTGAAGAAAGAGTATGACAAGCCTGCTCTTGCATGCTAGACCCTTGTGCTTATCATCTAGTGTTAGAAGGTAGAAAATGTCTGATATCTGCTTCTAGGCAAGATGAGTAGAGGAACTAGATTTACTATCTGCCTAAAATACATATATAAAATAGACACAGTATGAGACAATAGAACAATGATCTCTGTGAGAAAACATTGAGTCTTAAAATTACTTGAACGTATTGCCTTGAGCATATTTCCAGGCCACAGCATAGGGAGGGGAAGAGCATAGCTTGGCCATTTATAAGACATCTCCTTTACTTTAGTAACGCTATATAATTTTAAAATTTTTTTAAATGTGTTGGAAGTCTAAAAAAATATTCCTGGTGGAGACTGAGCACAATAGTGGGACAGGAGGAGAATCAAGGGAAATAGAGGAAAGAGCTGGGAGACAAAGGGCATTTATAGAGCTCTAGATAAAGACATGTACATATGCAAATATATTATATGAGAATGGGGAAATAGATCTATGA